AGATGCGCCTCACTGGTCACCGGAAGAGAAGAGACCTGGTCATGGGTGAGAAGGAACTGAAGCATGATACGTTGCTTTATCAAGCTCAGCTGTAAACCCAATGAAGTCTCAGTGGGAGTGAAATCTGATTGTGAACTAAGTCCCTCTGTGAGCAGGCTTGTGTTCTCCAACAGGGGCTGGCAAGGATTCTGCACTGTACTGCCCACTTGGGTGGACCTCACCTCCAAATTTCCTTTCTTCTCTGGAACTAGGAGGGCCTGGATGGAAAAAAAAAATCTTGGTGCTCGGAAACGATTTTCTTTTTCTCAAAACTCATTACAGGCACTGGACACAATTGGGATTAATGCTCGCTTTTGGAATGCCTCATTTCTGGTGATGACAAGGGACGCTTTTATGAACTGTTTAGGCTAAAATGGGCCGTGCCTTTACGTTGTTAACCGCTAGCGTCAGGCAGCTTGATGCAAGCAAGCTGGAAGTCGTTCTTCGGTTGGTACTTTTTTTCTTTGTTTTTGCAGCTTTATGAAATCAATAAAACACACACACAAAATGTGATGTGGTGGTTTATTTAACAAACTGTACATTTTACCAGTGCATATACATGCGGAGCTCTTCCAGGGGCCCAGGTGCGGGGGACCGGGGCAACCTACCACAGCCCCCCCATATCTGCTCAATCCCTCCCCCCAAGCCCTCCCCTGCTCCACCCCACACTCTTACCCCCTCCCCTGAGCAACGCAGCCCAAGGGATTCCGGGGCAGTGCAGCATCAGCACAGTTTACCCTCCTTTCCGCCCCCACCCCACTCACCACAGACAGAACTCTCTGTGCTTCCTGTCACCTGTGAGAAGCCGCGCACCGAGGGCCCAGAGAGGGCAGCGGGATGGAGCGGAGCAGGCTGGTCTGCTCCCGTTCCCGCCGCCCACGTGGTGAGTATGGGAGGGATGACCTCTGCTGCTGTCCCATGCCAAGCCCCATAATCCCCCAGGTCCCTCCCATCCATAGGACAGTTGGGGGAGCCACTGTGAGACCCCCAAAAACATGGAGCCACCCCGATTTGTCCTATGGATGGGCCGGCTCAGCACACCACCATGCCTGTGTGTATATCTTCCACTACCTCAGCCAGCTTCCCACATTCACCCCCCCCCCCCCCCCTTTTTCCCCCCCCCCCCCCCGTATCTTCCCCCTCCCTCATGCCACCGAGCAACTGAAGAGCCTGTAGCCAGGTGCCGGCAGAGGGACGGCGGTTTTTGTTCAGTCTCTCAAGCTCTCTTGGGTGGCTGGAGTGCACCTCAGGAAATTGCTGCAGGAGGCGAACCTGCCTCATTCCTTCCATGGTTGCTGCGGGCGTCGCATCCCACCTGTTGCCAAACACTTTGCCAGCTCAGCTTCATCTTTGCCTGGCTCTTTCTGTGCTCATGGACGTGCCTGCAGTGGGCATCCAAGGCCAGGCCAAACCTTTCCTATGAAACAGCTTTGACACATACGGGGGTGAGGGGTGGGGGGGAATTCACTGACATTTCCCCTTCCTCAGATGCGCGGCACTTCCCGAGCTCAGAAAGCCAGGCTCAGTGCAGAGGGTCTCCATGGAGACCGGGTGGGACAAGGAATCACATCGAAGGGAGGCTCTGAGGAGCCTCTATCGATTAGGCGGCTGGAGCGCATGACTCAGTGGAGCGCAACCGGTGGGTCGTGACCCCCCAAGAGGGTCACAGATGTCTTCCTGGGGGGGCCGCCCGGATCTAAGCGCCGTGCCGCTCAAATTACCTCGGGGGTCGCGACACGAGTACAATCAAATATGAGGGGGCGCGTGGTCGAAAGAAGGTTGTGCCCCCCTGGCATGACTCATGAGGACAGGCTGAGGGGACTGGGCAGGCCCGCTGGCAGGGGGAGGCAAAGGGGTAAGTGCCCAGGGACCCTGCTCACTGCCACTGGAGCTCTGCCAAAAAGCATCTCTTGATTGAAAGATGTTTTTGATCGGGCATAGCAAAAGCATCTTTCAATTGAGACGCTGCTGCAGGCAGGTTGGGCCTAGGGAAGGGAAGGGGAGATGGAGTGCGGCTGCCCTGGGGCTCATCCCTGCAGATGAGGGATGGGGCTAGGCAGGCTGAGGGCTCCTCAGGGGTAGGGGTGTTTGAGGTTTCTCCAGTCAGGGGGCTGGCGTATGGCTCCAGCTGAGTGAGGAGGGCAGGGGGCCCATTGATTTCTGCACTAGGGCCCAGAATTGCTGTGGGAGACCTGGAATTGGGTTTATTTCATGTGCAGAAGAGAAGAGTTTGTCGGGGCGGGGGGAGGTGTTTGAGAGCAGCCTTCAACTCTCTGAAGGGGGGTTCCATGGAGAACGGAGCCAGGCTGTTCTCAGTAGTGAGGGGTGGCAGTACAAGGAGCAGTGGGGGAGGTCGAGGTTGGATATTAGGAAAAAGGATGTCACTAGGAGGGTGGGGAAGCACTGGGATGGGACCCCTAGGGCGACGGTGGAATCTCCGTCCTGGTTTTTAAGGCCCGGTATGGCAAAGCCCTGGCTGGGAAGATTTAATTGGGGTTGGTCCTGCTTTGAATGGGGGATTGGACGGGGATAAGCCAATACTAGTAGCCTCTCTCTTTCCTGGCCAAAGAAAGAAAGAAAGAAAGATGAGCTCCCTCAGTAACTAGAGAAGAATTTGATCTTGCACAAATTGCCATAATTAATTTAATGAAGCTGATGCCAAACCTAAATTACCCAAGCACTCCCATTATATAATTCCATTCTGTATGATTAAAGCTTTCTCAGCAAGCACCCGCATCAAAACACAGCGGTGGTGCAAATTCTTCGGAGAGTCTCGCAAACATTGGGACATCTCCGTGTGCCGCCTGGAATGAGGCCAGTCTACACGACACCCTTAGCTCGAAATAAGCTACGCTGTCTGAGCTGTGCAAATGGCGCTGCTTATTTCAAGTCCATTTCAAAATCGCTTATTTCGTAATTTGGCGCTCTCTGCACGTTGTGAAATAACCCGCTATTCCGAAATGTCCCTTACTCCTCGTGGAACAAGGTTTACAGGGATGTCGGACTGGGGTAATGGGCGCACTGTCAAGACGCGGAATAGCTTTTTCGGGATACCGGAAGTACCCTGAAATAGCGCCACAGTGTAGATGTAGCCATATAGTCCAGATTTAGTGGAGCAGGGGTTCTCCAACTGAATTATTTGCTAGTGGGCCACAGCAAGATGGCAGGTCACATACTAAAGGCTTCTGTGACCCTACTGTCAGGGTTTCCTTCCAAAGGAAAACCTGGACTCCTGTAAAAACAAGAAGAGAAACCATCACAGGTGCCTCCACCAGAGGCTGCTGCTACACCACTAGAAGAAAAGAGTAAATAGGACTTGAGTTCAGGGATTGGAGCTGTTAGCCAGCAGGGCCCATGGGAGATGGACGTCCACCAAGGCAGTGGAGAAGACAGGATAGTCAGGGAGGAAGTGGACCAAGCGGCCCGGCTAGTTTGCAGGTGAGACTAGGAAAACGGCCGGGCATTGTGGAGAAGAACTGGCCCCAGCAGGGGAAGCATGTATAAAGGAGCTGGGCACAAGTGAGGAACAGATCAGACGGGAGGGGGAGTAGATGAAGAGAGAAGGAAACCACGGGACTGGGAATGTGAGGGTTGTGAGCATCTCACTGTGCGCCAAACAGCTGGCTTTCGTTTCTCCGTTCCTCCTTTCCTAGCTCCTCCCCAATATTCTTGAGACCAGCTATGGGAAGTTTTAGGTCCCAAAGGAAAGTTTTCAGCAAGCTCTTACCTAGCACTTCCCATCAGTAGCTGGCACTTCACAGAGACTAGTATCACTATCCTCGCCTTACGGGGGGAGTCCAAGGCACGGAGATTAAATGATTTGCCCAGGGGCACTAGCAGGCCGGTGATAGACCAAAGTGTCCCCTGTTCTGCTCCGGTGCTGTATTCACCCAGCTGGATGCAGTGGAAGACGTGAGGTCAGATTCTAGGTTGCTGTACATCAGTTTACACCAGCTGGAGATCTGGCCTGAGGGAGGGGTTATGTTAAACCTGTGGTGGGCAACCTGCGGCCCATGGGGGTTCTATGTGTCACCCGTGCACCCCTTCTCTGCTCCCATCCCCCAGCACTTACCTACTCCTCCCCCTCCCTCCCAGCACTTCCAGAGCGCCATGCATTGGCTGATTCGCGGCATTCAGGTTCTAAGGCGGAGTGGGGGGAGTGGAGACCAGGCGTGAATCAGCCAATGCATGGTGCGCTGGGAGGGCAAGAGGCAGGAGCAGAGACTGGATGTGCTTGGCAGAGGAGGGGGGGAAGAGGCTGGGCAGCAATGTGATATCAAGTGCACTAATTATGACCCCCAGGAGAAGATTAAACACATTAATACCGGGCATGCGGAATATTTCAGAACAGGCAGAAATGCTTTAATCGCTCGTATGTTAATAGAGCTCCAATCAAATAGTAAAAAAAGAAACATTTGACATGTACTTTATAATATGAAACAAAAGACAGGACTATGTAGCACTTTAAAGACTAACAAGATGGTTTATTAGGTGATGAGCTTTCGTGGGCCAGACCCACTTCCTCAGATCACTTCCTTTTGATCTGAGGAAGTGGGTCTGGCCCACGAAAGCTCATCACCTAATAAACCATCTTGTTAGTCTTTAAAGTGCTACATAGTCCTGTCTTTTGTTTCATATTATAAAGTACATGTCAAATGTTTCTTTTTTTACTATTTGATTGGAGCTCTATTAACATACGAGCGATTAAAGCATTTCTGCCTGTTCTGAAATATTCCGCATGCCCGGTATTAATGTGTTTAATCTTCTCCTGGGGGTCATAATTAGTGCACTTGACTGATTTCAGTCTTGCGGCCCACTGAGATGAAGGAGGACTCCTCACGCCGGCCACTCACTAGACTGGGTTGCCTGTCGCTGAGTTAAACCGTCCTTTTTTGCAAGCCCTCCGGAGAACTTCTGCTATTAGTGGAAGCTGTAATCATTAGAGATGATCCTCAAGCAGCCCCCCTGCTTCCCATCAGTCCTCTCTTTCTGGTCCTGTCTGAATGTTGTCAGGCTCAGCTAATAACCCTGTGATGCGGATTCTGCCCTGCATGGCCCTATCAGGGTTGAAACCCAGCCCCCGGAGCGGGCTAAGATGGTGGAGCTCGCAGCTGAGGCAGATACAGCCTATTAGGGCCCAGCTGAGGGCTGTATAAAGAAGGGCTCCTGAGAGGAGAACAAACACTCACTTGGCTCTTGCTCCAGGCGTGGAGAAGAAGGGACCTGGCTGTCAGGGAAGTGAAAGGCTTCTGGAAACTGAGGGGATCAGTGGGGCAGCCAGGGCAGGAGAAGGCAGCAGGTCCACAACCTCTTGCCAATGAGGAGTGTCCAGTTCAGATGGCAATTTGCCTCTGAGGCAACAGCTAGATGACACCTGGCAGTGGGTCACGGAGGCAAGGCAGGTACAGGGGAATTGGGCGTTCCTTGGGAGGGAGGACCCCAGCGTGTAGGGGCACTGACATCGGACAGTACTAAGAGGAAAGGGCACCGGGGCAGGAAGGGACATGGGGCTGAACCAGCAGACCCGCAACAGAGGCTGGGACACGGACCAGCAGAGGATTTTCTGAGGTGGGAGAGCTGATGCCCGGAGTGGTCAACTGGGGGCACCGTGGGGGTGAGCGCTCGCCCCATGACAAAGCCCTTCGTATCAATTTTTTTTTTTGAAACAGTGGGCGAATATGTAATGGGTTTGAAATCCTGACCTGCCCCACGGTGGCTTCTCTTTGTGTGTTGAGCAGTCAGGGAAACACTGTGCTACATGCAGTCACCGGAGGAATGCTGATATCTAGGGCACCAGACTCTTTGGCCATGTCTTCACTCAGGGGAAGATCGATGCTGCCGTGATCGATCTTCTGGAGTTCGGTTTAGCAGGTCTAGTTAAGACTCGCTCAATGGAACACAGAGGGCACTCCCATTAGCAGTCTGTACTTACTCTTTACACAAGCAGGAGGTAAGCCACTGTGAGGATGCTGGGGAAACTCAAATCAAGGTACATTGACTCAGCTATATAATTAACATAGCTGGAATTGCGTATCTTGTTTCTACCTTCCCCTTTAATGTAGACCAGACTTCTCCATTCTTATTTATTTCCCTTGGGGGCTACACTAACTGCCAGTTCCATGATTTCCCTTCTCATCCCTCGTGCTGACTCACTGAATTCCAGCTCTGTTGCTTCTGCCGCAGCAGGTTCATCTCCACATCCCTTGTGTGATGCACTTTGTCCCAAAACTAGTCAAGCCGGTAGCTCCCAAGCCAAGGAGGCAGCACTTTTCATTTGAAATGGAGCCACTGGGGACTTTTCTGAGGAAAGATGCAGCTTCTTTCACAAGGAGGAAGGCGAAAATTTGTTCCTCTTGGTTTCTGAGGACAGGACAAGGAGTAATGGGCTTAAAGTGCAGCAGGGGAGGTTTAGATTGGACATTAGGAAAAAATTCCTAACTGTCATTTTGGCCACATATTGGAATAAATTGCCAAGGGAGGTGGTGGAATCTCCCTCTCTGGAGATATTTAAGAACAGGTTAGATAGACATCTGTCAGGGATGGTGTAGACGGAGCTTGATCCTGCCTTGAGGGCGGGGGGCTGGACTCGATGACCTCTCGAGGTCCCTTCCAGTCCTATTATTCTATGATTCTACAAATTTCCGGTTTTGTCAGGGAAATCGAAATGGAGTGTTTTCTTATGGGTTAGGTTGACTGGAGTCAGAATACTTCAGTCCCTGTGACTGACCCAAAACATTTTGTTCCAAATCAGTTTAAAAAAAATTAAATTTGCGTTACCCTATCACACATCATCTTCTGTTTTTTTCAGTCCTGGCCCCATTATCCTTGGAAGAATACATCTGCCCTATTGCAAAGTGGATTTTCCACCGTGGGGTATCACCAGAGTCACACAACTGGATTGGAAGTGTCATCCATCCATACACAAGAACGGGATCTGGAACACCAATTCCCACAATGCATTGCATCACAGACCATGCAGTCGAATCCTGAAACAGCTTGGCAGGAACGGTCCCAACTTGTTTCACCAAACTGACACATTTTAGGTTTTGGATTTTGAAATGAAATTGTTCACCATTTCCAAATGGAAATGTTTGGAATTTCTGTCCCCACCGGATATTTTGAAATGTCAACTTCAGGACAAAAGCAAACACTGAAATGTGGGAATTTCCCATGGATGGAAATTCTGAATTTTGCTCCGCTCTGCTTTGAAGTGTATAATAGTTCTATGATGAGCTCATCATGCACTATGTACCATGACCTCAATTTAATTACCACTGTTTAAGCAAGACCAAGTCCCTCCACATTTTACTGAGCTGCCTTTCTATCCATATGCTTCACTGTAATTTTATTGGCCCCAATACTGAAGGACTCATAGCAGCCAGTTAAATAGAGGCCGTGCAACTCATCAGACTGCTCCTACATAGTGATCCACAAGATCACTGCTATCCCAAGCCTGGTATCTCTTGAACAGAAGTTGGAAACTGACAAATGATGCAATTGATTTTATTCACCCCCACAGCCAGCTTGTCACAATCTCATCAATTTCAAAGGGATCTGCACAAGCTTGTCTGAGAATGTAATAGTCACCGTTCCTGGGCACTTGGCGTGCAGGGAGTTAGTGAGTATCCCAGGCCACCAGCAAGTATCCAGCCCTGTAAACCCAGCAGTGAGATAGTAATATTGTAGCCTCATTGGTTGGGAGGGTGGCAGGAAAGGGATATGTCTTATGTTAGCAACACTTGATGGGGAATCACGTTTCTTCTTGTCTTTGCATTGCTGTGTATGAGCTGATGTTCAGAACAGTCTTGAGGATGGGCTCAGCCATGGGTGGTGAAACCCGGGAATAAATTGCCTGGGGAGGTTGTGGAATCTCCCTCACTGGGGAGACATTTAAGAGCAGGTTAGACAGACACCTATCAGGGATGGTCTAGGCGACGCTTGGGCCGGCCGTTGAGGGCAGGGGACTGGACTCGATGACCTCTCGAGGTCCCTTCAAATTCTAGTGTTCTGTGATTCTATGGGGAGGGGCAAGATGGGGTTTCTTGGAGGGCTGCTTGGGAGATGTTTAAATGTCATGCATGTGAACTCCCGGGACACCTTGGGGCCCCTCACACAGATTAAGAGAAACAGTCCCCACAGAGTCACCCCATGGAGACTGCGGGGCCACCACTAGATCCTGTTCCAAGCATGGGGGAATAAAGGAGAGCTGTGCCTAGAAGAGGCACACGCCGAAGGCCCCTCCGGATCTTGGGAAGGGTGGCTCAGCCCCCTCCCAGAGCTCTGTGCTAGACCCTCTGCCGATGGGCAGTGAGTGCACAGCACGGGGAGCAGTGGGAAGGCTGGACCAGGGTGGAATCACATGTTGGCCCCTTTCCAGCCTCCTCAGCCCTCCTCAGGGAAGACGATATCCTTAGGGCTGTCTTGGGGTTTCTGGGGAG